AATGAATGAATGAAAACCCTAAATCTCTGTAAATGTTCATTAAAATTAATAAAATTTAATTAAAAAAATTGGCTTTGCCTGTTCATATCCTGTGCCTACTTTCAATTGGGTTATTTACTTTTCAAAAGTCCTAGCTCTAAGAGAGATGCAAATGAAAACAAACTCTGAAAGATCATCTCACCCCAGTAAAAATAGCAAAATTTAACAGAACAGCAAACATCAAATGCTGGCAAGGTTGTGGAGAAATTGGAACCCTTATTCACTGTTTGTTGGTGGAAGTGTAAAATGGTGCACCCACTGTGAAGGCGGTGGTATGGTGCTTTCTCAAAGTTGGAAATAGAAATACCATTTGACCCAGAAATTCCAGTACTGGGAATTTAACCTAAAGAAACCATAATTGCCACCCAAGCAGATAAATGCACCCCCATGCTTATTGCGGCTTTGTTCACAATAGTCAAGAGCTGGAAACAACCCAAGTGCCCATTAACAAACGAATGGATAGAGCAGCTCTGGTATATTCACACAATGGAATACTACGCTGCAGTGAAAAACAAGGAACTCATGAAATATTAATCAAAATGGGAGACACTGGAGGACATTATGCTGAGTAATATATCTCGGTCACAAATGGACAAATACTGCATGGTGCCACTGTTGTAAAACAGGACTGACCTCGGGGTTGGTGGGAGACTGAGAAAGATGGGTTCAATGCATAGTGCACTGAAACAGATGAGGGGGAAACTGTTTAAAAGCGATATGTGATTAGGTATTTTTGTCATGACAGGTGTCTACAGTGAAGGCTACATGGTGGAGTGGACCTGGGAGAGGGTTTGTAAAACAATGAAAGAATTTTTCTTTTACTTTTCCAAGAGGGTAGTGTACTAGGGGGTGAGGGCTGAGAGGGGAGAAATGTGCAACAATAAATGAATGGAAATCCAAAGTCTCTGTAAATCTTTACTGAATATATAAAAAAAAGGACAAATATTGAATAGGGTCACTGTTGTAAAAAGGGACTGACATCAGCTTTGAGGGAAGACAGAGAAGGAGGGGAGGAATGATGAAACAGATGAGGGAGAGAACTGTTTAAAAGGTATATACAAATGGGTATTATTGTCATTGCAAAAGTCCAGAGTGAAGGCTGCATAGTGGAGTGGACATGGGGGGAGGGATTGCATAACAATGAAAGAGTTTTTCTTTCCAAGGAGAAGAGTGAATTGGGGGAGGGGGTGGACAGGGAGAAAAGTGCAACAATGAATGACTGGAAACCCTAAGTCTCTGTAAACTTTCATTAAAATTAAAAATTTTTTTTTTAAAATTGGATTTGCAATTCCTTGCCTTCAAGCGCCAGAGGTCAAGTACTAAAAAAGCATCACCCATAACTGGAATTCAATTTAAATGTTTCCCTTGGTATCTCAATAACATTGGACTATGTCTCGGAGAAAGTGTAGCCAGAGTGCTCCTTGGAGGCAATGATGATAACTTGGGCATGCTACTAAAGAGAAGTTATTCCTTGACAGGAACATGATGCTTGGAAAGATGGGAGGGTTGGCAAAGGAGAGGAAGATGCAACTATGTGAACTGACACAGAACTGCCATAATGGGCGCTAGTGTTTCAGGAGGTGAGGATGGCACAGGGTTCAGATCTGTCATCATAGGGTTGTTACGGGTTGTACTCGACTCACCACCACATTAACTTGCTATCCCACCCTTGCCCCATGAGCATTCTTATGTCACGAAATAATAGCTACAATCCTCATGTTAAAGCTTTCATGTGCTTGTAGCATTCCAAACAGTGTGGCCTTCGAAACGGTTACTCTACTGTGGAGGTCATATCTACTTTGACACATAGAATGGATGAAAAATCAGTGGAAAGACTACATGTACAAAATAGCTCCACATCAAAACAAAAGTCAGTTTCCAGCTCACAGAAACCCTAAAGGACAGTGCAGAACTGCCCAGTAGGGTTTCCAAGGCTCTAATCTATGATGTCATTAAGTTGTTGTTATGTGCCCCCGAGTGGCTTGCAACTCATAGCGACCCTATGTACAACAGCCCTAAACTCCGCTCTGTCCTGTGCCAATCGCACTGTCTGACACACCCATCCCGATTATCCCAGTCACTGAATCAATTCTCCTCATAGAGGGTCTTCCCCTCCTGCGCTGTCCCTCCACCCTCCCAAGCATGATATCCCTCTCCAAGGACCTGTCCCTCCTTACAACATGTCCAAAGTATGTCAGACGAAGCCTCAAAATCCTTGCCTCTAAGGAGCAGCCTGGTTTAACCCTCTCCAGGATGAATCTGTTATCTTGGCAGTCCATGGTACACATTGGCTGGCTTCAACCTTGTCAACCACCTCATTTAACTACTCAGCGGAACTGATTCCAAGCTCCTGTGTCAGTCTAAGTTCAAAATAACTATGTGGTGTGATTGTGGCACATTGTCACTAGTTCTACTGACTCCCTGGCAGATGGGATCTCTGAATGGGTTCTAGGCTTTTGAAAACCTTCCTGGAAACCAAAGGACTGTATTATTTTTTGTCAGGGAGTCACACTGCTTTGGTTGATTGGTCAGAAGAAATTTCTAGGTGACTTAGTCTAAATGACTTAACAGATAATTGTATTGGGGATCAAAACTATAGTTTTTGGGTTCTTAGTAAGAACAGAGGGGGTCTGTAGGGAGCTGTGCTGCTAATCCAAAGGTGGCGTGTTGAAATCCATCAGAGGCTCCTAGGGAGAAACATGGGCAATCTCCTCGTTTGCAATTTACAGTTTCTATAAACCCACTGAAAGATCTGCTTTGACTTGGTTCTAACTCAGTGGCAATCGGTTTGCAGTTTTTGCTCATTTTTCAGTTTTAATAAGAACATGAGTCCTTGGATGGTACAATTGTTTAATGCGCTTGGCTCTGAATTAAAAGGTCAGAGTCCAGACACATGCAAATGATTGGGTGTGTAAGTTGAGAAATCAAACACTGGGAACACTGGAGCACAGTTTTTCTCAGGAATTGGAGGAGGTGATCTGAGAGCAGCCAAGAACATAAAATTTCATTAATTAGAATCCAATGAGAAAAGGGTTCCTTTGGTCTTCTTGTTTTCTTACAAACTTTACTCCTAATTCTCCAGATCAAGAGAGCTGGACCAAGCCCCTATGGAAGAAACATACAGCACAACCTGGAATGCCACCTGCTCTAAGGATGAGGCTCATGCCAACACTACTTGTTAGGTGCCATCAAGTGACTCTGACTCACTGGGACCTACATACAAGATTGAAACCTTAACCACTCCTTCACTCCCCTCACAGTGTCTGCTGTGCTAAAGCCTTTTTTGTTGGAGATACTTTGTCAATCCATCTTATTCACGGTTTCTTCTCTTCCTCTGTCCTATACCACACCTTTCCGAGTACCATGTCCTTTTTCAGGGCCAAGGCTCCTCCTGTCAACATCTCCAAAGTATGTGAGATCATGTGGCAAACGACCGTAACCGCTAATGAGCACCCTGGCTGTCCTTCTTCTAAGACAGATTGGTTTGGTTCTTTCGAAAATCAGTGCATAGTCAGCTACCTGTTGTCAACAAGACAAGTAAGTCAAAGGCATAAACTTTTTCTTTAATCTTCCTTTTTCATTGTCCAACTTTCACAAGCAAATGAAGAAACGAAAATATGATGGGTTGTGTCAAGTGCACTTTAAAATGACATCTTTGCTCTTTAGCAGATTTGCACAATGTAACTAATACATCTTTGGATTTCTTGACTTGCTGCTTCTATGGCTGTTGATTTTATCTGGCCACTGACCACTACCTATTCATTTTTCTGGTCAAACAGCTTTACAACTTTGGCTATGGGACAGATGCTGAAATATTGATATCAAAGCGTCACAATGAAAAAGCAAAGTTTTTAGATGTTGAGGGAGTTTCTAGCATTTGTGGCTGCTTGGGCTTACATTTTAGGTAAACAAACTTTCCTTCAAGAATCACCACAAAGATGAATTATCCACCTCACAAAACAGGTTGTTTCCTGCAGAAGACAGTGTGAATTTAGTTCTGATCTGGCCTTCCTGACGTAGGCATTTTAGAGTTGTTTTTGTGACTAAATTTAGCTTTTACCACAAAAACAATGACATGAAGCATGAGGAGAAAGATGTGGTAGACTCCAGGGCTGCTTCCTGGGATTGGTTTATACATTTCTGTGTGGTATAAGAGTAAAATGGTAAGAAACTGGGGACCCTTATAAGCTTGGGTGATCACCTAAAAGTGTAGGATGCTGCCTATTCGCTTATGTTAAAATTAAACAATGAAACAGATGATGCTAAAGTACAAGAAAAAACACCACACAAATATTCAGACTCGATGAAGCTCTTTGGAATTCTTCATTTTCATTAAGGTTTTCACAAATACAAAGTTCAAACATAACTGTCTACATCCACCACAAAATGAAATCAAATAAGTGGTTGTTAGCACACAACAAAATCATCATTTTTTTCCATTTTTAAAAATATAAATAAGAACAATGTTCAAGGTTTTACAGTTCTTCCTCACAGGGGGGTGTGTGTGGGGGGTGTGTGTGTGTTTTAAGGCTTTGTGTTGTAGCTCTTTTGTTAAAGAGCACGTGAACCCTGCCACCAGGACACTTTGCCCGCAAGAACGGAAGGCCACTGTGGATACATTCCTGAGGGACACTCTCCGATCTAGGTGACCCCAGCCTGTGAAAAGCTACATGATCAATCAAACACCCTTCAACCAGTTCTCACAGTTTCATTAATTTTCTTTCTACTACAAAGAAATAATAGAAAGGGGGGGTAAGTTCCCAGCAGCATCTGAGTTCTCAAAGGAAGGGAGAGAAGGAAGAAACAGGCTTTTTTTCTGGACAGAATTAGTTTTCTTGTCTCCAGAAAAATCCCAATAACCCCCATAGTTTAAAGAGTGGTTTGTAAAGAAACATTTTTTTTTTTAGATTAAATAGTGCTGAGAGAAAAGGTGATCTTTTGGTTGGGTGTTTTACAAGAGGTTAAAGTGGAGAAGTTAATGCTGGAAAATCACTACTTGAAATACATGTCCCAGCAGGAGCCGCGTCACTTCTAAGGTCCTGGGGCAGCGCCGGGCCGCCCGCCTTTGGAATGAAATCCGAGGGAAGGCTCTCCAGCAGACACTTGACCTGCTCCTGGCCCAGTTTGATCTTGTCATCCAGCTTCCGCTGCTCAATGAGGAGGGTGGACTTCATTTTCACAAAATGCTTGTAGTCCTGGAGCTGCTCCTCTGACAGGTAGTTGGCCAGGATGTCCAGCACCAGGCGCTCTCTCCGGTCGAGGTTCTCCTTGAGCTCCCGGGCGTCCTCGTGCTGCCCAGCCAGGACCTTCCTCTTCTCATTGAGAGAACTCTGATGGGGCAAAGCAAACGGGTCAGCGAAAGGCAAAGGAAGGAAGCAAAGAGCCAAAACATTTGCAGAGAAACGTCTTGTAGGGCTGCACAATGCCTGCCTTTCTATGTGACTGGTCACTCTAAGGCATGGTTGTTTCTAATTGCTGTTGGGTCACCCTGTGTGTGCGGAGTCGAACAACTCCATCGATTTTCAAAGCTGTGACATCTGGGAAACAGGCCCCCCATATTTTTTGGGGTGCTTTCTAGGTAGTAGTTAGAACCTCCAACCTTTCACCTAGTAGTTAAGTGTTTAACAATTTATCCTAGGTGAGGAGTCCTTTGAAAAATAGCTTCACTATCACTATCCCCACCCCCGTCAAACCCAATTAGTCTCCTTAACACGTTGCTGCAGATGACAGCAAATGTGTTTCTAAGCACGGGCGTCAATTTAAAGTGTGCAGCACTGTGTTAAAAAAAACCTACTGTGGCAAAAATACACACAAAATTTGTCAATTCAGTAAGTTCCATATGTGCAATTCAATACACCTACATTCTTCGTGCTGTAAAGACATTATTGGCATTCTTTTATTCCGTTGCCATAAACATTTATCTTAATGTCCTTAAGGAAAATGCCCCATCCCACCTCCCCTCAACATACTCCAGAACTACTACAGTTTAGTTTCTATGTATCTGACATTTCTTCTAAGTGACATCAGACAGAGCTTGTCCATTTATAGCTGACTTATTTCCCAGAGCATGTGTTCTAGACTCACACATATTTGGCCTTGCATCAAGACATCCTTTCTCCAGGAGACACTGCTTGTTTAACTACTCATCCCTTGATGGATAGACAGGTTGTTTCCATTCAGTTCATTATTCCTATGCTGCGTTTTATATGAGTTTCCCACTTACAGCATCATTTAGAGTTTCCATTTGAAAAGGCTTAAGTGAAATTATCTAGGGTAATGACTGTATGTTTCTAGATTTAAAAGGCTGGTGTCTTGAATCCACCCATTGTCCTCTGAGAAAAGGACCTGGAGATCTGTTGACAAGGAAATTACAGCTTAGAAAACTATTATGAGGTAGCTGTACTTTGTTACATAGGGTCAGGATGAGTTAAAATAGATTCAACAGCCGCTAACAAGAGACTTAAAAGGACAATGATCTAGGTATCTTGGGTACTTACTTTAAATGGTGGTTCCTAGACCAAAGAGCAGCATTACTGTGTGGGTATAGGCCCGACTCTACTTATTAGATCACCGTCAATGAGGCTGAGCCCAGCAAGCCTTGTTGTGTTGTTGGATTTTTTGTGGGTTTTTGTTTTGTTTTATTTTTTCTAACAGCTTTATTTTATTGTAAAAAACATATGGGGATCCTAGGGGGTGAGGGTTGGGAGCAGAAGAGTGCGGACAGGTAGGGATAAAATCACAGGGTTGAACAATTTGGTTGGTGGAGGGAGTGGATTAAGGGAATGAGAAAGATCTGGGGGGACCAGAAAGGACAGGGTAATGGTGGGCATAGTACGATGCCCATTCATTCATTAATCTGACAGCTGAAGTTTAGAACCTCTACTCTAGTTTACAAACAACAAACGAACATTCTTTTCCTCCAGCTTCCAGTTTACAAGGTTTTTTCAGGGCTCAGAGTACCTATTGGTCTTTGTATGCTGGTTCCCTCCACCCTAAACTCATGCTCCTGAACCCCCTCTCTCCCCTCAATTGTTCTATCCCCCTCAACCCTTCTGTTTATGATACCCACAAGGCATTTTTGCTCTTCCCAGATTAAAAGAGAAGAAAGAGGGGGAGGAAAGAAAACCTGGAACCAATTTTTTCCCCTCTCTCCCTGAGTCTGAAGTGTCAGCATTACTCCCTGGCACAGAGGATGCCTCCCTCTCAGTTCCTGGTTGTCTATATGCTTGCTGACTTCTCTCCCCACACCAAAGAGGCTGTAATCTTCTCAAGAGAAGGGATCACGTCTCAGGGTACTTTAAGGTCCAGAAGGGCCCAGAGGGAAAAAACTTGCTGAACTGAACCAGAAAGCCACCTACCCGTTCTTCATTACTGGCATCTTCACCGAGGCCATTAAGGACATTCTCGACTCGGGCCAGGCGCCCCGAGAGGGAAAGCAGCAGGTTCACCACTTTGTCCAAGTCCCCAATGAACATCTTGTACTTGTCAAACTCATTAGGCTTGCAGAGCTCATGGATCAAAGCTTCCACCTCTTCTCCCAAAGCGTTATTGAGCTTGATGTCCAGCAGCACACTCTTCTTGGCTTCCTGAAGGGTCTCAAGCTTCTGGGTGAGGCTTCCGATGAGCTCTGCCTGAAATGACAGTGGACATAAAGCAAACATTAGCCAGCTCTCAGCCACAGCTTGCCCTCTCGTCAAGGCCAAGCTCAAGTGCCCGTACTCTACAGAACCTGCCCTCGACATTAGGTCACAGTGTTCATTCCTGTCCCCGAGTGTACAATTCTTGTCTGTGAATATATGAAAGGCTCCCAACCTGATCCGTGATTACACAAATGCCTTGTAATGTTTTCCAATTGTGCTATGCTGTGTACACCTTTGTCTTCCCAATGGGTGTTAACCAGCCATCATTGTATTCTAAGTCCTTTCAGGACATGTTCTTATTTGCCGCTCAGAATAATGTCATGCTATTGCTTACAGCACCTGTAGGCAGATAAGGCAAATGTTATTCTTATTTTACAAAGAGAGAAGCCAACCTCATAGAAGAATGAAGACATCTGTCCACTGAGCTGAGCTGGATATTACTTGTTGCTAGCATTTACAGAGTAATGACTACATGCCAGACATTGTGTAGGAAATGCTTTATGAATTATGTCATTTAGTTTTTTCAATTTTGTATTATTGAATATATCATGGACTGCTGAGAGAACAAATAGTTTCATCCTGGAAAGGGTAAGACCAGTCCTTGAAGGGGACATCATGCTTGGAAAGGTGGAGGGACAGCACAAGAGATGAAGGTCTTCGATGATTCAGTGACTGGAGTAATGGAGGTAGGTATGTCAGAGACAGTAACATTGGCATGGGATAGAGCAGGGTTTACAGCTGTTCAATTTGCCTGTACACCACCACCACCACAACAACAACAACAACATTTAATCACATACAATAGGTGAAGTGCTGGCCTAAGATGACATGAACACCAATGGTGTAGCTGAGATGATCTTAGGCCAATCCAACTTGAGGGGCTGCGTTTGTATAGTTATAACTAATACTGTCATGCATGTCTTTATTGGGAACCCAGCTCCCTGCACTTCCACTGCACCCCAAAATCTAAAATTAGTAGAGCTTTTAGGAACATTTTGCCTAGCAGCTGTGCAATTTGCCACTTATTTTACAACTTCTATACCTATAAAACAAGATTATCCAGTATGTTTAGCCGAAGAAACACAGTAAAGACTTTAGTGGATTTTATTTCTAATCAGTGTGTGTTAATTTCCTTGTTGTAAGAAAAATCTAACTTCACAGTTTTTGTAAATAATAATCTTTTATTCTTCTCTTAGCTTAAGGTAGTCAGATGGGAAAAGGGCATAATCTTCTTTGGTTAAAACCTCTTTCTCTACCTATTTCTTTAAACCGGTTCCAGCACAAGCCACATTTATATTTAAGGCTAAGTTATATGAAGAAGGATGACAGAAGAACAATTGATGCCTTCGAATTGTGGAGCTGGAGAAGCATCTTGAATACACCACGGACTGCCAAGAAAACAAATCAGTATGTCCTGGAGAGGGTGAGCCTTGGAGGCTAGGATTTTGAAACTCCATCTCACATACTTTGGACACATGGCCCGGAGAGACTGGTCTTTGGAGAAGGACATCATGCTCAGAAGGGTGGATGGACAGTGCAGGAGGAAGACTCTGGATGAGATGGACTGATACAATATCTGAAGCAATGGGGGTTGGTGTGTCGGAATTAGTGAGACTGGCTCAAGATAGGGCAGGCTTCAGAGTTATTGTACATAGGGTCACTATAGGTCGCAGGCGACTCAATGTCACATAACAACAACAACATCATGCTATAGTGGTTGTTTTCTTAATTTAAACCTCTTATTTAGAGTCAACAAGACCTTGGGGAAGGCTCTTGTATTTAAAAATCAGTTGCCATATTTTGGAGGAACATTCTAAGTGGTACAGTGTTCTTCTGTCAATATGCTGTACTTAGGTAACCTGGGGTTGCTGTGATGCTGAACCTTGTGCCATTGGGGTGTCAAATAGCATAATGGTTACCCACGGGGGACAGTGTTTGGTGGAGCTCCCAGTTTAAGACAGGCTTAGAAACAGGAGTGGCATCCAGTTCCTAAGCAGCATGCTTCTGGAAACTCTATGGATTTGGACAAATGACGATAGTTATAGAAAGGCTGTAGGTCTTTTATTCATAAGGTCGCTATGAGTCATGCTTGACTTGAAGGCAATCAAAACAACAACATATGGCTTCAATTGAGAATCTGACAAAAGCAAGTTTACAACTTCTAGGCTGAAGTCCCATCATGACATGGGTACATATAGTGACCACCTAAATGTTCTTTCTCTGGGGTCTAGTGAGAAGCTGCAACTCACTGGGCATGTTGCTATTGCAAGGTGGTGGTGGGGGTTGCTCTGTAAGTATGTTGAGTCTGAAGAAATGGCCCTCTTCTCACCCACTCCAGCACTACAGACTAATCAAGATGCATATGTCCCACTGTGCTACAGAGTAGGGTGTCACTTTGAGGACTAAGGTGTGGCTGACCAAAGCCATGAATGGTATTTTCAATTGTCTCACACATATATGAAAGTTGAATAATTAATAAAGACTATAGAAGAATTGAAACCTTGAAATTGTGGTATCAGTGAAGAATACTGAACATACTATGAACCACCAAAAGAACAAATAAATCTAAGGATAAATACAGCCAGAATGCTTCCTAAAAGTGAGGTTGGCAAGACTTCGTCTCACATATTTTGGGTATGTTTTATGAAGAGAGGGGCCAGTCACTGGGCAGAGATCACGCTTGGTAGAGGGTCAGAAAACAACAACAACAACAACAAAGCAAAGCAGAAACTACACAGGTCTTGAAAGGGTTAAAGGAAGGATTATAAAAGGGAAAAGCCTAACTATTTCTGAAAGGTACTAATGATGGTTTTTATTGTTTGTTCAACAACAGCACTAGTAAGCCCACTAAAAAGACAATAATAATGGAGAAATATTCTCACAATCTGCCCATCTCAGAGCTGTACCACAGAGTACTTAAGTACTGGTGAGATTAAAAATGTCCTTGAAAAGTTCTGGCTTTAATGGTGGCATTTTATTCACGTGGTCCCAGGGCCTACAGAATGGCTTAAAAAATTCACATCTGCTGCTTCCATCATCATGGATTAAAAGAACTGATTTTCTTAATGTTAAGATAATTGTTGTTGTTGACTGCCTTGGAGTCCAGCACAACTCATAGCAACCCTACGAACAAAAGGCCTGAAGCATCAGCATTTATCAACGTTCATAGAGTTTCCAGAGGCATGTTGTTTTGGAAGCAGATGCCACTCCTGCTTCCAAACCTGTTAGGAAAATTAGTTAAGATAATGCAAAAAGTCAATTTTAGCAATGAAGAAGAAGAAAAAAAAAGAACACGGTGTAAGGTGTAGTTTTCCTATATTCTCTTATAAAACACCATTATTTCCCAGAAAGGAATTCTGGCTGGTAGCTACAGCCAGCAGGGTATGGGGATAGTTCATATTAAAAGGCTAGGAGAGACACTGGAATGGAAAGCAGTTAAGAAAAACACTGCATGCTACTACATCTCCCAACATGCCTGCTGGACAAGACTTAGACAAGTCAAATGCCATCATCTGTGTTTTTCAGATGGATAATTAAGAGACCAACATCTATCTGAAATCATCCCAGGAGTTCTCACTCCCATGTGGTATATTTTCTAGGCTTGCTAGTACAAGTAATACAGGATACTATTTTCTTACAGAAAACTGTTGTTGTTGCTGTGTACTGTCTAGTCTGAATCGACTCATAGCTGACCCTCAAGTGGGCTTTTTGAGGCAGTAAATTGCACAAGGGGAGACTGCCCATCCGTCTCCAGCCAAGCACCTGGTGGATTCAAACCACATGCCTTTAAGATTGCAGTGTAGCTTCTTATCACTAGGCAACAGAGCTCCCTTATAGAAAATTTCTTGTTGTGTGCCCTGGAGTCAAATCTAACCCACAGCTGACCCTTCCGTGGGTTTTTAGAGACAGTATATCACACAGGAGGAGAATGCCCATCCTTCTCCCGCAGAGCAGCTGGTGGATTGGAAATGTGTGCCTTTGGGGCTGCTAGCTTCTTAGCACTAGGCTGCGAGAACTTCCTTACTGAAAACTAAGATATATCAAATGCAAAGAGGTAGTTAATAACTTCATATTTACCACTGCCAACCTCAGGAAAAAGTTTTATGCTTGCTCAAATACTTTAAATTCTCAGATCTCTAAAATGAAATCTCGCATCTTGGGGAGTATAATTTCCAGAAAATACTTTTTAGAAATTAAGCAGTAGAAGAAGAAAAAAAGATGAGTTTTTAAGTTTTTCATTATTCATATAAATATGACTTTCTTTTCAAGTACATACTGTTGATAATAATTTCTGGAAGAAAGGAAAAATATTATCATTTCAAAGTCCTCATTATGGTTCTCCCAAGGTATTTGAAGGGGTGGGTATGAAAATTTTTCATTTCTAGTAAGGATAAGTGTTTGCCTTCACAAGCAGGGTGAGTGGTAGACAGATGGGAGAGCTTGTCTTCTTAAATCTTTGAAATGGGGCTTTATTAACTTTCTTCGGAAGTTCCGAAGCAGGTCAGCAGGGCTGTAAGGATAACTGTGAAATAAACTGGTTTAACGGGCTGGGAGAGGGCTAAAGAATAAGAGTTGGACAGCAATTGGGTGAAGTTCTAGTCACATCTTCTTACTAGACCCTGTTTTGATTTTCAAAGGAGCAGAGTCTACTTAGACTCCTCATAGCAGCCTACTCTAGGTTTCCTGGTATAAGGAAGAACAGAGTAAGACTAAAATGTCCAGTGGCAATAAAAGGAAGCTTGTGGGAGGCATCAAAATATATTTTGTGGCCTTTAGAGTCCTGGAAGCTTTTAGCTGGGCTGTAATGTGATCTATCACAGCTTGGCTGTATATGCTAATTAATGCAAGTCCTACTGTGTGGTCAGCACTAGTGCTCCAGGCTCAAATGCTACACACATACCTGAATGGCATTTGAATTTAAAAATGTTAAAGGGCTTTGAGTAACTGAAGGAAATAAAGGAAACAGTTGGCTGCAATGAGTAGCTATTTCT